TAACTTTTAACAAATAAAATAAATTTCGATTTTTTATTTTTTGAACTCAATAAATTTGACCAATGAATAACGTTCGTTACAGATAAGTAGCCCCAACATTGTACCACTGATATTATCACAAATTGGGAATAATAATTCACTGAAAAATCTGAAAAGAATTTCTAAACTCCTTGATTGACACCTTAACTTTTAAGAAATAAAATAAATTTCGATTTTTTATTTCTTGAACTCAGTAAATTTGACCAATGAACAAATGTTCGTTACAAATAAGTAGTCCCAACATTGAACCAATGATATTATCACAAATTGGGAATAATAATTCGCTGAAAAATTTGGAAAAAATTCCTGAGTCCCGAATTGACATTTGATTTTTAACAAATAAAATAAATTTCGATTTTTTATTTTTTGGACTCAATAAATTTGACCAATGAACAACGTTCGTTACAGATAAGTAGCCCTAACATTGTACCACTGATATTATCACAAATTGGGAATAATAATTCGCTGAAAAATTTGGAAAAAATTCCTGAGTCCCGAATTGACATTTGATTTTTAACAAATAAAATAAATTTCGATTTTTTATTTTTTGGACTCAATAAATTTGACCAATGAGCAACGTTCATTACAGATAAGTAGTCCCAACATTGTACCACTGATATTGCCTCAAATTGGGAGTAGTAATTCACTGATAAATTTGGAAAAAATTCCTCTTCCTTTGTTCCTCATCGTCCACATAGTCCTCCATGGCGCAGTGACCATGGCGGCCATTGTGCGGGCGTAAATAGGACGATGACGAGTGCTATCGGTCGGCCAGCAGATAAAGCGACGTCCATCGAAGGCGAGCCGACTCGACAACAGTTATTCGCGACCTTGCCGGCGATAATCGATCGGGAAACGTTACAAGGAGAAAATTTCGCCGTTGGAAAATGTTCATAAATAACGGTCGGCTCGCCGATGATCGTCGAGATAGCCGCGAACATAACAGCGGGATTCTTCGACGGAAAGTAAGCACTCGTCCGCCGCCATTCCTGTTTACCTCTTTCGCCGAGAATCTCGGCAACCATCCTGATCGAATAACTACCGTTCGCCATACACTATCGATTCGCGTGCAGAATGAGTCAGGAAAGAATTCGAAACCCGTGCTTTCAAACGCTGCCATAACTTTCCAGCAAGTTTAACGACTGTACTTGCACAAATTTTATCACGCGAAATTTTCATCTGTGGGAACTGGGTCCGAAATTATTTTCTCAGATAAATCGTAGAAAGTGTGCGAAATTAAATTGTCATAGGTCATAGGTTAGATCTTAGTTCTTCAGATTCGATGATTGGCAGAGGTAATCACGGTGAGATTAATATAGAGATAATTTTGAAATTATATGAATTATTATAGGTTAGCAGTTCTCTAGATTTGATAATCGGCAATGGTAACAATGTGCAATATTATAGATTACATGAATCACTATAGATAAGTGATTTTTCGGATTCAATAATCGTAGTAAGGTTAGTATAGCAGTAGTATATTTTCTTCAATTTTCCAGGCTTCGAGGTCCTCTTAAAATTAATTTTCGAACAATTTACTTCAATTCCTGCTTTCGTTGCATACACTCGTGATTTTACTGCAAGGAGAATTTTATAATTACTGTTACAAAGTTATAGTCGTGATCCTAAGTCGATAATTGTGGATCACTGTGTATTATATGTACTTCTTCCCACAAAATTATTATTATGCAAATATGGTCGTGATCCTAAGTCGATAATTGTAGATCACGGTATATTATTCGCACTCCCTTCCAAAATATTACGATTACAAAAGTATAGTCGATATTCTAAGTCGATAATTGTGGATCACTGTGCATTACACGCTTTCTCTCTCCCACGAAATCGCTATGATGCAAATATAGTCGGCATCTTAAGTCGATAATTGTAGATCACGGTATATTATTCGCACTCCCTTCCAAAAAATTACGATTACAAAAATGTAGTCGATATCCTAAGTCGATAATTGTGGATCACTGTGCATTACACGCTCTCTCTCTCCCACAAAATCGCTATGATGCAAATATAGTCGGTATCCTAAGTCGATAATTGTAGATCACGGTATATTATTCGCACTCCCTTCCAAAAAATTACGATTACAAAACTATAGTCGATATCCTAAGTCGATAATTGTGGATCACTGTGCATTACACGTTCTCTCTCTCCCACAAAATTGCTACCATGCAAATATAGTTGGCATCCTAAGTCGATAATTATGGATTACCGTATATTACACGCACTCCCTACCAAAAAATCACTATTACAAAAGTATAGTCGATATCCTAAGCCGATAATTGTGAAACACTGTGCATTACACGCGTTCTTTCCCACAAAATTGCTATTATGCAAATATAGTCGGCATCCTAAGTCGTTAATTATGAATCACCGTGTATTACTCGCACTCCCTTCCAAAAAATTACTATTACAAAACTATAGTCGTGATCCTAAGTCGATAATTATGGATCACCGTGTGTCAAACGTACTGAAAAATCTCGAGTTATCTGTAACCATCTGGAAGACTCGCCTGACCCAAACGGCTATCGTAATCTCATTAGCAGCGGAAGGGACGAGGTCGGTTAGGGTCGTTCGTTGGCTCACGGTGCGAGATTGAATGGTGGCGATTGATAAATAGAGTGGAACACGTGTTCGGTGTGGATTAATGGCGGGAGAAACAATTCATTGTTGGGGAGCATGGCCAGCAAGCGTGAAAGGATCGCGCGATCCTTTGTCCGGCACTTAGTCCTCCAACCAAGCATCTCCTTTATCCCGAAAACTCGGTTATTGATTAGGTGTCAGAAATCAATATCCCACGATCAAACTGGGTACCCTAAAGGGGCATTAACATTCGTTCGATTAAGACTACCTTAAAACGCTTTCTAGCAGTGTAACAAATGACCCTGGCGGATGATTTTTCATCCTTCCCTCTAATTGATTCTTCTAATTGCCCTGGACGATACATCATCCTAGAGCCCGTTAGCCTCTCTCGACCGCAACGGTTGTTAGAACCTCGGTCAGGGGAGCTACGAGCGTTTGAAAAATTGCCAACGATCAGCGGACAGCATCCGCAGCTTGAGTTATCGCGATTGTCGAACCACATTTACGACAAGGATCGCGGCCAGCCGCACGGGGCCCACGGCGATCGCTGATTTTTCGATCAATCAATCTATCTATCCGGCCGATGATTTCGCGAAATTGAGACGTCAATGAACGCTCGATCGACGCCGCGAATCTTAATCGGAATCGCTTTTTCTAACGTTCACATGCCTCTGATGAGGCAGCACTTGTCTTTGGAGGAAGGAAACCTACTCGAGATCCGATGATTTGTCCTCGATCGTGGCGTTGGCTTCTCTGGGTTAGGTCTGATCCGTTCATGAGGACTCGGGATATTTTAATGCGTTGCGTGACCTTTCGGTGAAAGAATGCTGTTAAATGTCCCCACTGGTACCAGTCACCATAAAAGCACGCACCGCATTTGCACACGAATGATCCCATGAGACTGGAATTCGCGATCGACCGAGACGGTAATTAGGCGTGTCCACGATTTTATCACTTCTCTGATGAAAATTTCTGACGAATTCTCGCCGATTTGTTTACGACGCTTCGTGGAACGAGAAATTGGACAGGAATCCTATGGAGTTCATAAATACTCGGGAAATGAAAGCTTTCTTCGGTATTTGATATTTTATGATATCGTTTTGATCTTTTCTTTTATTTTTCTTATATTTAGGAGCTCTGAGAACTTTGATAGATCTGAAGTACAGTACTCGTGAGAAAATTCCTTGATCTTGTTAAATTCAATATTGTCAAGTATACAGGGTGACCAATAGAAAATTGAAACGTTTAGATAAGCCATAATTTCTTCATTTCCAATTTTCCTTTATTTTATTTTTTGAATCTCTTGGCGATTAAAAAATGATAAAATCTCTTAACTACATTTTCAAATAAAATAATGAAGAATTAAAGAAACGTGTATAATTTTTGGTGAATGTAAAATTTCTTGATCTTCTTGTTAAATCCAATATTGTCAAGTAGTATTGCTTTTCATGGGAACACGTAGATAAATCTAGAATTTCTTTAAAATAATTAACGTAGCAAGTATAGGGTGGCCAATAAAAAACTGATAAAAAGCTGGTAAAAAATAGGCCATCATTTTTTCGTTTCCAATCTTCCTTTATTTTATTTTATTTTTTTTTTTATATATAGGTTATAGAGCATCTCTTGGAGATTAAAAAATAATAAAATCTCTTAACTACATTTCCAAATAAAATAATGAAGAATTAAAGAAACGTGTATAATTTTTGGTCAATATAAAATTCCTTGATCTTCTTCTTAAATCTAATATTGTCAAGTAGTATTCCTTTTCATGGGAACACGTAAATCAATCGAGAATATCTTTATAATAAACAAAGTAGCAAGTATAGGGTGGCCAATAAAATGCCGAGGTGATTAAATAAGCCACAATTTCTTCATTTCCAATCTTCCTTTATTTTATATTTTTATAGGTTATAGAGCATCCCTTAGAGATTAAAAAATAAAAAAAAATTTGGTGAATATAAAAATTCCTCGATCTTCTTGTCAAATCCAATATTGTCAAACGAAAGATCGAGTATGCTATTATTCCTTTTCATAGCAACACGTGAACCAATCAATAACTTCCTTAGGATAAGTAACATAGTATATACAGGGTGATCATTGACAAATTGAAGGGTTTGAAAATATCATAAAATAATTTAAGCAATTCCCATCTATATTCCCAAATAAAACATTGTATAATTTTTAATTAATATTTTCAACGTGTATTCCATATTAAGCTGCTAGCCTAGGTCACTCACGCCTTCCCCCACTCCCCCAAATTTTCTCTTCAAATAAACCATCGAGTCCCCTTCTCAGGTCACGCTAACCTACCCCTATCAATCATCCCCAGCAAACAAACCATCAGCCCTAATACCCCCATTCTGTTGCAGGACTACGATGTGCTAATGACGGAATGGCAGTCGGCTGGTCGCAGACTGGCCCTGGAGATGTCGGAGCTGAAGGAATGCAGCAGCCTGTCAGGCACCTTGACGCCTCTCGGTCGGCTCCTCACGGATCCCACATTGAGAAGAACGTCCAGAGATGCCGAGGAGGCGATCGCCTCTCTGGAAGAGCGCGCGGCGCCACTGCTGCACCTCGAGCACGTCAGGTTAGAGAGCAGCGTTAGAAATCTCGCCGCGGGCCAGACCATGGACACAGAGAGCCTAGCTCATTGTCGTCCTTCGATTGTCCAACGTCTCTCTCTCTCTCTCTCTCTCTCTCTCTCTCTTTATCCCACGTGAAACAACGACCGTCTATTAATTCCTCGCGTCGTTCATACACCTGGCCAGCTCTAGAGGTCTCTCTCTCTGGCCCATCGCCAGGCTGTCAGAAGAAAAGGCCAGTGTCTGGCCGCGAAAGCGGGTATATTCCTCCGACGCGTTCCACGTGGACAGGAACTGACTATGTGGGGAAGGGAGAGAAGCGTTTTATAACGAAGACGATAATGTCCGTGTCGTGTTAGCGCCCACTCGCGAAGCTGAAGGGACGAGAGGCGCGGGGCTAGGCTAGCGTTCGATGTTTCGTTAGCGATAAGCCGGAATTCCTAACGGTGCGTCGCGATCACGACGCCTCCCTTTTATCTTTCCAGATTGTCGGTGAAACGGGCACGGAGGCTGGTGGAGGAGGTCGGGAACGCAGCCACCAGGCTGGAGTCGTCGTTCGAGTCGCGACGCGCCACCATTCGCAACCTCGCGGTTCTCAGGAGTATCGAGGACCAGGCCCACGAGGTAAGTGGCATCGGCCGCCTGTTCATTCCCTCGATTTTTCCCCTGGGATCATGGGGATCCTGCATTCTATTACTATGGTTAGCACCGCTGTGTAACGTTCCAATTGGAACTTCTCGACTAGGGTAAATGAAAGTCGAGCTGACCGTGGTTATCCTTATGGGATAACTGGAGGAGCTGCAACGGCGAATGCTTAAAATAGAACTCGTCTCGAGGTAAATGGAAGTTGATCTACTATGGTTAGACTGAACGTTGGAAAAGCCTTCTGGAGCATGCGTAACGCGTAGATTGGAACTTCCCCCGAAGTAAATGAAGGATCACCACTGTGGTTATACCTGGGGTATGACAGGATGGGGCATTCAAATCTGCGGAATCGAACTTCTTTCCCAGTTAATGGGCGGTAGTTAGGTGTAATTATCTGTGGATGGCTGAAGAATCCTAAATGGGACTTCTTCTGGACCGAGTTCCATCGGAATTTGCTAGTATTGTCTTTGACAGCAGATAGACTGACGAGTGCAGGTATCTAGGACGAAAGTTGATCATTTTTCTTTGACTTCTTCGTCCAGTTGTGATGAAGTACACTGTTCTTCATACGCGAGATTTGGTATCTAATTCAGAGTTCACTAGAATTTTCTCTGCAGCGAATTCCAAGGGAATCTGCTAGTGTTGTCTTTGACAGTAGATAGACTGACGAGTGCAGATATTCTGAACAAAAGTTGATTACTTTTCTTTGACCACTTCATTCAGTTGTAATGAAGTACACTGCTCTTCATACGCGAGATGTGGTAGCTGATCCAGGACTGACTAGAATTTTCTCGTCATCTAAAACGAAAATTCGTCTCTGTACCCAGTTAGGCAAGGATACGTGAGATTCGGAAACTCACTCAGAGCTAACTATACTTGGTTCCTCAAAGAGAACTAGCAGGAAATAGAAACTATTACATTCAAAGAGCACGTGGTCAGTATAGGAGCACCTTTTCCTGACTCCTGCACATGAGGAAAGAAACTGGACTAGGTACCCTAGAGAAAAGGGTACTTCATTATTCGTCTCTGAACATCGCTATGGATAGCTAAAGAATCCGAAATGGGACTTCTTCTGATGCGAATTACAAGGGAATCTGCTAATGTTGCCTTTGACAGTAGATAGACTGACAAGTGTATATATCCAGGAACAAAGTTGATCATTTTTCTTTGACTTCCTCATCCAGTTATGATAAAGTACACTGCTCTTCATACGCGAGATTTGGTACCTAATCCAGGGCTGACTAGAATTTTCTCGTCATCCAAAACGAAAATTCGTCTCTGTATCCAGTTAGGCAAGGGTACGTGAGATTCGGAAGCCCACTCAGAGCTAACTATACTTCGTTCCTCAAAGAGAACTGATGATGTCAGCACTGGAACACCTTTCCCTGACCCCTGCACACGAGGAAAGAACCTGGACTCGCATATCCCTAGAGCCCTAGCTAAGGATACTTCACTATTCGTCTCTGAACATCAACGCTTGACAGCTTATAGCGCTGTCAATGTTAACATTTCGTTTATACCTTCTCCCTTTTCCCATAAATGAAACGTAGGAACTTCCGGTCATCCAGTGAGCTAACTAGACAATTGACACCCTATCTCCTGTCATCGTTTTCGCCAGAAAAGTCTCGTAGCTTTTGAATTCGTATCGTTAGGTGAGCATCTGCTACCGCATCCTCAGTGAAACGAAGCAAATCTTTCGGGACGTACCTGCTCGGTGCCTCGATCACCAGTCCAGGCCCCTTCGAGCAACCTGTTCTCTGCCATGATGACTTGACCTAGTTTGGCTAAAGACATCACGTGTTGCGACCATGGCGGCAGCAAACGGAACGCTCCTTGGCCGTATCAGACGCGTTGCAATCGCGAGTGCGATTAGCCGTGGCTGCATTCGTCACGCGGCGTTATCATGGTCGTTCGCGGGGGAGTGTTTGCACATAACCGAGCATAATCGATAATGGAACGTCCCCGGGTCGTTAAACGGCCGACGACTGCACCGGCGCTGTGGGAATCCTTTGATTATAGCGGTGGATCGCGGAAGGAGGATCGAGTTTCGTAATTCCGTGCCAGGTTCCAGGCGAGATGGATTGGATGGGTGCAAGGGGGACGCGAACTGGTCCCGGGGGAGAGATCCCGGTGCTTGCAGCCACGTCGCGTGAACTCGCGGCCATCCCATCCATTTCGTGATCGATGGATCACGGGAGAAATGAATTTCTTTTTATTTTTATGGATTTTATCCGATACAGAGTTATCTAGGAAATGGGGTACAAGGAAGACGAATTTTTAAAATCTTTATTTATCTTATTTATCTTACAAGATTTATTATTTAGTTGTTCGACTAGTAATATGTGAGGGGAATGAATTTTGAGGATTTTTTATGGGTTTTAGACGATGTAGAATTGTGTGGATAATGCAGTATATGAAAGACAAATTTTTTGAATTTTTATTTATTTTACGAGATTTACCATTTAGTTACTTGATTAATAATATGTTAGGGAAATGAATTTTCAGGATTTTTATGGGTTTTAAGCGATATAAAATTGTTTAGGAAATGGGGTACAAGGAAGAAGAATTTTTTGAAATTTTACTTATTTTATTTATCTTACAACATTTACTATTTAGTTATTTGATTAATAATATGTTAGGGAAATGAATTTTCTGGATTTTTATGGGTTTTAAGCGATACAGAGTTATCTAGGAAATGGGGTACAAGGAAGACGAATTTTTAAAATCTTTATTTATCTTATTTATCTTACAAGATTTATTATTTAGTTGTTCGACTAGTAATATGTGAGGGGAATGAATTTTGAGGATTTTTTATGGGTTTTAGACGATGTAGAATTGTGTGGATAATGCAGTATATGAAAGACAAATTTTTTGAATTTTTATTTATTTTACGAGATTTACTATTTAGTTACTTGATTAATAATATGTTAGGGAAATGAATTTTCAGGATTTTTATGGGTTTTAAGCGATATAAAGTTGTCTAGGAAATGGGGTACAAGGAAGAAGAATTTTTTGAAATTTTACTTATTTTATTTATCTTACAACATTTACTATTTAGTTATTTGATTAATAATATGTTAGGGAAATGAATTTTCAGGATTTTTATGGGTTTTAAGCGATATAAAGTTGTCTAGGAAATGGGGTACAAGGAAGAAGAATTTTTTGAAATTTTACTTATTTTATTTATCTTACAACATTTACTATTTAGTTATTTGATTAATAATATGTTAGGGAAATGAATTTTCAGGATTTTTATGGGTTTTAAGCGATATAAAGTTGTCTAGGAAATGGGGTACAAGGAAGAAGAATTTTTTGAAATTTTACTTATTTTATTTATCTTACAACATTTACTATTTAGTTATTTGATTAATAATATGTTAGGGAAATGAATTTTCAGGATTTTTATGGGTTTTAAGCGATATAAAGTTGTCTAGGAAATGGGGTACAAGGAAGAAGAATTTTTTGAAATTTTACTTATTTTATTTATCTTACAACATTTACTATTTAGTTATTTGACTAGTAATATGTTAGAGAAATGAATTTTGAGAATTTTTATAGGTTTTAGATGTATATAATATAAGAAAAACGATTCTTTTCTCTTCTTTTTGAGCTTTTTGGAAACTTTAGATTATATTGGGTTACTTGATCATCAAAAATTTCTGCCCATTACCTCACCTGATGTTGACTTGATTTTTACTTGAATTATCTGCTCAATATAGTACAAGAAGAATTAATTTTTAGAAGTTTTATTATTTTCTAAAATCTTTATTTTATTTTTAATATACAGGTAATTTAAAATAGAGTGTACAAATCAACCCTTTGCACTCGGGGATAGACTCAGTCACAATTTGTTACATCTCGAATAATTAATAAAAGACAATCCATATTATTATTCAAAATAATATGACAACATTCCATTAAAAACATAATACTATCTAATATAATTAATTAAATTGTCATATATTAATTCAAACACAATTTCCCTTCTCATCATCACAGAAAATTCCATCAAATTCGAAGAAAAATACTTCAATTTATTATTCCAGAAAAATTTGTCATAATCAGAACACCTTCGAGTGCAAAGTATTAACAAATTTCTTAAATTCGTCTTCTCGATCCGACACGTCGTGTTGGAATGCAAACAAATTTCGAAAAGATAGAAAATCCTATGTTTTCATTTGCAAATAGCGTAATTGAAGGATTTAACGAAATTACACTCCGTATTGGAAAATTAATCGCGCCACTCGCGCCCCTTCCTCATTGTTTATAACAATCGGCCGCGCGACAGCGATTAATGACCAGGCGGAGCGGTGTTATTCGCAATGGCTCATTGTATTATGCTAATTAAACGTGTAATCAGTTTGTCGTACACACCGCGTGCACGTCGACGAACATGCGGCCCGACACGATCCGCGCGTACGCGCACGTGATGACCGCGTCCCGAGCGGAAACATGTGAGCCGACGTGATGTAACCGTGTCGACGCTCTGAAACGCATCTTACGTGTCTCTGTAACCTGGAATTTGCCGGTGACACGTGTCGTTGACTTGTCCGTGACGTAATCACTGCGTGAGTGAGATCGCGATGATGGATCCTTTGATATTTATCACGACTGATTCCATATTTTCCTGTTTTTATTTTTTTAGTCAATTAATTTCGAAATTATAGTACATTGCAGGTGACACAGGACTTATTATAGTTCGCCATTAGTGGAGAGAAACGAGTTAAATTTTCGTCGAAGTTTTTAATTTGGATTTATCGCAAGTATTTTCACAATTTTCGTTTTGCGTTAATTAATTTTTTTAAAATTATACTAAATTGTATTTCACAGATTTTTATTATAGTTCGACGTTAATAGAAGGAAATGAGTTAAATTTTCGTCGAAGTTTTTAATTTGGTTTTATCGCGACTATTTTCACAATTTTCGTTTTGCGTTAATTAATTATTGAAAAATTAAATTAAATTGTATATCACAGATTT